TTGCACCACGCACAACGCACCATGTATATTGCACAACATATATGTGTATGTAGGTGTATATGTATATGTATATGTATAGCACATACATATGTACATGTGTATATATATATATATATACATCGCACCGCGTCGATTGTACGACAAACATGGCTAGAATGACAACGTTTGGGGTCCACGCTGGCTAACACACAATATGTATATGTGTATATACACATACACGTGTTTACATGTCCATGTTCGCCAGCGTGGGCCCCAACCAGTGTGTTATCTATGTTGTGCAAGCTATGTGGAGCAATCGATGTTGCGCAATAGGTGTGGTGCAAGCCATGTTGTGCAATATATGCGGTGCACGCTAGGTGGGGCAATCTATGTGGTGTTATTCACCTTGCCGAACTTGAGGTTGTCAACTCCACTGCTCGCGCAAACATCCCACCCACCTACCCGCAACTTGGTTTGCAAAACCCATGCGGCGGCGATTGCGATGAGTGCATGCTGTTGGCTGGTGCGTCTCTGCGGCCGCGCTAGCCCGCGCATGCTCGCGCGCGCAGCGACCAGCTAGTTTGGCGCGACCGACGCGGCCGCGGTGGCGTTGACGGCTGGGCACAACCCGCCGGGCACTTCACTGCGAGTCGGCGACTTGGGCGGGCGCGGTATCATGGCAACGCCAACAGCGGCAGACACGGTGATGCTAGTAGGTGTGTTGGTGACGATGATGACAGCGGCGACGGTACGGCCAGTGACGGCGCCGATGCTCATCACGCCAGCGACGATGACGGCGTCCTCGCGTCGGTGATGGAGGTTTTGGAAGGAGTTCGACTTGCGCGCGCGGCCGGCGCGGGAGAGTGGCCCGCATGGTTTTATTTGACGAGGATCGTCTTCCCCCAAGCACGCGCGCAAGGGCGGTCGAATGATTTCGACATGCGGCGCGAGTGGCTCGTTTGGCAGAGTGCAATGAACATGTTAAACAACTTGTGGTTTCTTGTATGTTTTATGTGCACTTGATTTTGCAATCCTTACAACACCGAAGGTTCTTGAAGGATTTTGGCACGCACGCGCGGCGACGCGCGCGCATGCACTTCGTCTGGTATTTTGCAAAGGAGTCTCGCGACAGCACGCGCGCACGAGCGTTCGAACGATTTTGACACGCGCGCGCGCGATGCCTGTTTGGTATCTTTTCATGAAAAGGTTGAAAACCCATGGTTTCTTAAGAATCCGCGAAACCGCGCGCGCAAGTTTTTTCTTGAACAATATGTGTGGTTTTTGTTTTATGTATGTGTAGATTCATCAAATCCGTATTGCGAAACCATGTGTTTCTTTTTTATTATTGACACTTGGTTTTTCATTCCTTACGACACCAAAGGTTTTCGAATGACTTCGGCATGCGCGCTCGAATATGCGCGCGTGTTCGCTTCGAATCATATTTCGCAGAAGAATTTCTGTCAACGAAGAGTTTGGATAAACGAGTTCGCGCGCACACTATTTTTTCCAGAGGATGGCGGGGGGGGGGCGATACTGGTTCCCCTGGGATGGTATGAGTTCATATTTCGGATGAGCGATGGGGCAGACTTGTCTGTAAAGTGCACTACGAAAAGGGGGAGCGATAATCCGGGTGGGGGGTATAATCTGTTCTCTATGTAGCAAGGATAATCTACGTGGTGCAATCGGTTTTAACAAACGATTTGACACATCCCATAATTTTGCAAACATCCCACCCACCCACCCGCAACCTGGTTTGCAATACCAGTGCGGTGGCGATTGCGATGCATGCGTGGCGTTGGCTGGTGCATTTCTGCGGCCGCGCCAACCTTAGCACGCGCGCGCAGGCAGGGGACAGCTAGTTCGGCGCCACCGACGCGGCCGCAGTGGCGCTGACCGTTGGGCACATTTCAGTGGGCACTTCATTGCGAGTCGGCGACTTGGGCGGGCGCTGTATCATGGCAGCGCCGGCAACGATAGACACGATGATGATAGTAGCGATGGTGGTGACGATGTGGACACCGACGAAGGCGCGGCCAGCGACGGCGCCGATGCTGATCACGCCGACGACGATGACGGCGTCCTCGCGTCGTTGATGAGGGTTTTGGAAAAAGTTTGACATGCGCGCGCGGCCGACGCGCGAAAGTGGCCCGCATGGTTTGATCTGACACGGATCGTGCCCCCCCCCCAGCACGCGCGCAAGGGCGTGCGAAGGATGTCGGCATGCGGCGCCAGACGCGCCTTCGGCAGAACTCCATAACATGTTGGAAAACCGGTGGTTTTCTTCAGAATGCGCAAGTGCGCGAGCGCACGCTTCTTTGAACACTGATGATGCGAAACCATGTGTTATGGCATGTGTTTTGGACATTCGGTTTCGAATTCGTTGCGAAACCGCTAATTTTTGACGGATTTCGGAATGCGCGCGCGAAGAAACGCATACACTTTGTCTTGTTTGTTGCAAAGGATTCTCGCGACGGCACGCGCGCAAAGGGCGTTCGAACGATTTCGACGTGCGCGCGCGAAGCCCGTGTGATAGCATTTTACAAACTGGCTGAAAAAAACCGATGGTTTTCATGAGAATTCGCGAAAACGCACGCGTAGTTTTTTTGTTCAAAAAGAAATTTGGGGGGTTGTTGAACATCCGTGGTGCGAAACCATGTGTTTTTACATGAATTTTGGGCACTCGATTTTGAAATCCTTACGACGTCAAATGGTTTTTTGAAGGATTTCGGCATGCGCGCGCGACGACGCGCGCGTGTGCTTTTCGCTTCGGTTTTTTAAGTGTCGGATTTGTGAACAACTTATTAGTTTTGATGATTGAGTGCGCGCGCGTGGCATTTTTTGCAGAAGGTGACGGGGGGGTGATACTGGCCTGGCTGGGATGCATGAGTTCATATTTCGGATGGACGATGGGGCAAAATCGTATGTTAATTGCAATACGAAAAAGAGTGTCGATAATCCCGGGGGGGTAGGGTCTATTCGCTTTTTTTTTTCAGCAGGAACATGCTACGCTACGCTACTCCCGATCAGCCCGAAGGCCGTGCCAATCTAGAACTCGGGGGCAAATCTTGGCCCGTGTCTCCGGCACCTGGGCGAACAGGAACACGAATGCGTTACAATCTATGTTGTGCAATTCACTTGCCGAACTTGAAGTTGTCAACTCCACTGCTCGCGCAATCATCCCACCCAACCACCCGCAACTTGGTTTGCAAAATCTCTTAAGACCGTGACGGTGGGTACCAAATCGCAGTTGGCAACGACAGTGACGCCGACGACGACAGCGACAACGACGACGACGACGCCGCCGACAACGACTACGACGACGCCGACGACGTCTCCAACGATTTCGACGACGCCGACAGCGACGACGACGACGACGACACTGACGATGACGACGCCGACGCCGACGACTACGACGACGATGACAACGACGACGACGATGACGACGCCGACGACGACGACAACGACGACACCGACGACGACGGCGACGACGTCAACGACGCCGACGACGACGACAGCGACGACGACGACGCCGACGTCGACGACGACGAAGACGACGACGCCGACGACGACGAAGACGACGACGACGTCGCCAACGAAGACGACGACGAGGGAGGAGGGAGGACGACGACGGTGACAACGACGACAACGACGAGGGTGGAGGGAGGACGGCGACGACGACGACGAAGGAGGAAGGACGGCGACGCCGACGATGACAACGACGAGGGAGGAGGGAAGACGACGACGACAACGACGACGACGATGACGACGGCGGCGACGAAATAGGAGGGACGACGACGAGACGCCGACGATGGACGACGACGACGACGAGGGAGGAGGAGGAAGGACGACCACGGCGACAACGACGACGGAAACGACCACGACGCCAAAGAGGACGACGACGACGAACACGAGGAAAGACAAAGGACGACGTAGGCGACGACGACGACGACACGGGAGGAGGGAGGACGGCGACGACGACGACGACGACGCAAGAGCGCGCGCGCACGCTTTTGTTGAAAATCCGTGTTGCGAAACCTTGTGTTTTTGTAGGTTCTTTGGACACACGATTTTGAAATCCTTCCGAAACCGATGGGTTTTGAAGGATTTCGGCATGCGCGCGCGACGACGCGCGCGTCTGCACTTCGTCCCATGTTTTTGCAGAGGATTCTCGCGACGGCGCACGCGCAAGGGCGTTCGACAGATTTCGACATGCGCGCGCGCGAAGCCAGAGCTCGCGCGTACGTTTTTTAGCAAATCAGTGTTGCGAATCCCTGTGTTTTTGTAGGTTTTTTTGGAAACTCGATCGCGAAATCTTTTCGACACCGAAGGTTTTTTGAAGGATTTCGGCATGCGCGCGCGACGACGCGCGCGTGTGCACTTCGTCGTATTTTTTGTAAGGAATTCGCCAACAAGTCTTATGTTACAACAGAAAAAATGTCCCCGCGTATCGGTTTCCACAAGGGAACCTCAGGGGGAGCGATCCCGGCCTCCTTGGGATAGTGTAGATTCATATTTAGGATGGGCATGTGGTCATAATCATATATGATTTACATACCCGAAAGGGGGGCGGATAACTCCAGGGGGGGTAGAGTCTATTCTGTTTTTAGGAACAAGAATTTAAGCGGCGACGGGGCGGCGACGGCGACAGCACAGCTGCCAGACCGGCGGTTAGGCCCAGACGACGGGCAGCGACGAGGCGGCGACGGCGACAGGGCGGCGACGGCGACAGCATAGCCACCAGACCCCCCCCAGTTCCTTAGTCCAGAAGTAAGAACCCATCAGCGCAAGCACTGTTTCGGACAATCTGTTCATGCACGTGCATATCTGTTCTCACATACATGTAGAAACAGCACATCTGTATACACACATGTGTATATGAATTGATTTTCAGGTGTGTGTGTGTGTGTTTGTGTGTTTACAGGTCGGATCAGTACAGCATGACTTCGATCCTCGATTTGCGAGACCGCCGCCGGCGATGGCTCCGCAGTGGGCCCAGGCCGCTCCTACCCCTGGGCCCCGAGGCGTCGCGGCAGGCCCTGAACGTGCAGATGTCGGGGGTGCCGAGCCTGGCAGCGGGCGGGCAGGTTGGCGGGCTGCTGGGCACGTCGCGCCACGACAAGGCGGGCCCTCCGGCCAGCCGGCGGACGACGGCCACGAACGGCGGCGCACGATGGACAACGAACACGACGACGGGCGGCGGTCACGGCGGACTGCGGGCGACGGGCGACGGACGGTGGGCGGCGACCGGAACGCCACGACGGCGGACGACGACGGACGACGAGGGCGACGGGGACAACGAGGGCGACGGCGACGGCGATCGGACGGCTGCTGGGCACGTCGCGACGTCGTCGCCGTCGTCGTCGCCGTCGTCGTCGTCGTCGTCGTCATCGTCGTCGTCGTCGTCGTCTTCGCCGTCTTCGTCGTCGTCTTCGCCGTCTTCGTCGTCGTCGCCGCCGCCGTCGCCGCCGTCGTCGTCGTCATCGTCGTCGTCGTCGTCGCCCCCGTCGAGAGGAGGTCTTGAGAAACCCAGCCCTGCAACGCCTCGAACAAGGTCGGGGCCGAGTTTCTCTGCCGCAGGTCTTGGCGCCCCGGGTGTGTGTGGGCCGCTGCCGTTCCCTGGGGGCCACCAGGAGTTGGCTATACGTATTTATCATACGTTGACAGTCGGTATTTTTGGACTCCAAGTTCCCAATCTACGAAAGAGCGTGCTCTACCGCTGCTGGCGGAAAACTGGAGGGGGGTCACTGGGGGTTCCCAACCCGTCCCCCCTCCCTCGAAAACCGGGGGGGGGGTCACTACCGGTTCGAACCACCCCTCCCCCCCACGCCTCAGTCTATCATGAAAAGGGGGGGTTCACTACCGGTTCGAACCCCCCCCCTCGAAAACCGGGGGGGGTCATTATCGATTCGAGCCCCCCCCCCGCCGCCGGCAAACGATTCCCGAGCCTCGGGACAGTTGGACAATGGTGGGGATACTGAGACAGTGGTGGGAACGGTGGTGGTGGGGACAGTGGTGCGAGGACAGTGGGACAGTGGTGCGGACAGTGGTGGGGACGGTGGTGGTGGGGACAGTGGTGAGGGGACAGCGGGACAGTGGGACAGTGGTGGGGACGGTAGTGGTGGGGACAGTGGTGAAGGCGGTGGTGAGGACAGTGGTGGGGGTGGGACAGTAGTACAGTGGGGAATGTGGTAGGGACAGTGGGGACAGTGGGACAGTGGTGGGGACAGTGGGGACGGTGGGGCAGCACATGCAGTGGGACAGCGGCGGGGACAGTGGGACAGTGGTGGGTACAGTGGGGACAGTGGGACAGTGGTGGGGACCGTGGGGAAAGTGGGGAGAGTGGGACCGTGGTGGGACAATGGTGGGGAGAGTGGGGACAGTGAGACACTGGTGGGGGCACTGGTGGGGACAGTGGCGGCAATGGTGGGAACAGTGGGGATAGTGGGACAGTGGTGGGGACTGTGGGACAGTGGTGGGGACGGTGGTGGTGGGGACAGTGGTGTGGGGACAGTGGGAATGTGGTGGGGACAGTGGGACAGTGGTGGGGACAATGGTGGTGGGGACAGTTGTGAGGGCGGTGGCGAGGACGGCGGTGGGACAATGGGACAGAGGTACAGTGGGGACAGTGGTGGGGACAGTGGTGGGAACAGTGGGACGGACAGCTCAGTGGGACAGCGGCGGGGACAGTGGGACAGTGGGATACTGGGGACAGTGGGTAGTGGTTGGGGCCGTGGGGAAAGTGGGAGAGTGGGACCGTGGTGGGAACAGTGGTGGGGGCAGTGGGAACAGTGCGACAGTGGTGGGGGCAGGTGGGGGCAGTGGGGACGGGGGTGAGAACAGTGGGGGCAGTGGTGGTTCGAACCGGTAGTGACCCCCCCGGTTTTCCGGAGGGGGGGGGGGTTCGAACCGGTAGTGACCCTCCCCAGGTTCTCCTGAGAGGGGGGGGGTCAGGGGGTGGGTTTTGCCGGGGGGAAGGGGGGAGGGGGTCCAGCAGGGGGGGGGATTTTCGGAGGGTGTGTGTGTGACCCCTGGGTTGCGGAGGAAGAGGGGGGAAATTTTCCACAGTAAAGCGGCGGTGGATCACGCTCTCTCCAATCTACTTTGGCCGCCTTCCCACTTCAAGAGTCGAGTGCTTTTCCCTCTTCCCTCCTCTTCAGGAGGCGGGCGGAAACCCAATCTGCTTCCAACGCCTTCCTACTTCATGGTTCTACCTACTTCTTCTGACCGATGGGTAAAGAGCGATCTTTCGCTGGAGTGACCTTTGGTGCGGGCACGCTGGGGCCCCCAGATGGCTCCATGCGATGCGATAGCAGCGGCTCGCGCACGCCAGCTCGGTTTCCCCTGGGGCCCCGAGTGTCGCGCACTGGAGGTCACTCTTGTCACTCTTGCGTGTAGCCTTAAGTCGGGCGTGTCCCTCTACAGGAAGAATATTCAAAAACAGCCAAAACATAGAAAGGGGACGATCTTCCGACTATTTTTGATCATGCTGGAATCTTTTGGGACCATGTTCCATTTTTCGTCCGAAATCCTGTGGGGGACATGCCCGACCGAAGTGTAGCCGAAGTGAGCAAGAGTGCGGAACGAGCGGCTCCTGGGGAAGGGGCCGAGAGCTCTCTCGTGGCCAGGCAGGGCCGCCTACGAGCCGATGCGATGCGGTTGGACTCGCCGGCTGCGGCCGCGATTCCACGTCGATTCTCGGGAGACTCTCCATGGGGGAGGATCCCATGGGGGGGCAGGAGGGGGTCCCCCCCATGGGATCCCCCCCATGGGATCCCCAGGGGATCCTATGGGATCCCCCCCCCCTGGGATCCTATCCCCCCATGGGATCCCCCCCATAAGAGTCTCCCGAGATTCGATTCTGTTCGATTCACTGGCATCGGCCGGGCATCGGCCGGGCATCGGCCGGGGCCAGCCAGAACCAGGCGCGGCGGTCGGATTTCGATTCGAATTGGGGACGACACGTTTGGCGATCCGGTCCGTGTCTGAGCCGACCCAGCTTCGCGGTTCGATGCAGGCCAGGCCTGGCAGGCAGGTCTGCAGTCAAGATGCCGAGATGATGACCACCTTGGGCTCGGGAGAGGCTCTGGTTTTCGGGCCGTTCCTTAGATTCAGAAGAGGTCGGGGAGGAGCCCTACTCGTAGCTTCAAGTCGGGCGTGTCCCTCCACAGGGGGGATATCCAAAAGTAGTCCCAAAGGAGTATTTGTTGAATCTTTTTTGGGGCATTTTTGGGGTATGTTTTATACTTCGTCGACAATCCCCCTGTAGGGGGACAGGCCCGACTGAATCGTAGCTGGGGCTCGCCGTGGCCGGAGAGGCCCCTCTGTTTCTCGTCCAGCGCTCGAAGTTGCGTGGCGAGTGCCCGGCGGAGATCCGGCAGCTCGCTCTCACAGGGTCGGGCAGCTCGCTGCACTCCGAGGCCTGAAACGCCTCAAGTCAGGAGCGAAAGAAGGACGTACATGTACATGAATCCACGCTGGTTTCGAGAGCACGCATTGCACAAATGTTCGTATAACGCGGCCAGTCTCGCGAATCGAGGGGCCGTGTTCATGTACATAGCTGGGCGCGTACGTCCTTTGTGGGCTCCCTATTAAGAGCCCCCGATGGAGTCATCCACAGCAGAATCTCTTGTGAGGCGGCCTGCTTGCGAGCGACTGCCAACTGTTCGAAGATCTGCCAGGAAGCGGGCCCCGCTTTACGGCCAGCATTTGCTTGTCTTTCTAACATGTTCTATGATGCACATGCTTTTCAGCGCTGCTTTACAGGAGGCCTGCCAAGTGGTACTCCGTGACACAGTCAGTCTGGGTCACTCCAGGCATGAACCTGTTTTCTCCTGGTGAACACGACCTTCAACAATAACCATCTACAACAAATCACTGGATCACTTCAGGCATACGACTTTTGCTTGAGTTTGTTGCCGCGCTGAAGAAGTGGTAGCACGACGATTGTAGGATGAGGATAAGTCACTCCAGAGCGTTCCGGAACCCTCCCGGGGCGTTTCGGAGCGCCCTGGGATGGCCGCGGCGCCTAACCACCAGGGGGGGAGGCAGGCAGAAGGGACTAAGGGGAGGGGGGGAGGATTCTTGATCTTCCTCCTCCTCCCTCTCCCTTCCTCCTCCTCCTCCTCCTCCTCCTTTTCCAGCAGCGTGTGTTGAATAGAGCTCTCCCTGAGTTTATTGGCATTAGTGTTCTCAAAACTGTTTGTAATTCGTGGTGTACAACAAAACGGTTCCGAAACGGAACCCTTCAATGCCGTCTGGGGTGTATGGCTCTCGGCGGCGATTCTCTCAGTCATTATCTCTCTTGTCCTGTCTTCCTTGCCTCTGTCTCGCGTTTGCTCCCTTCCCTTCCATCCGAGTGGTCTCAGCTTTCTTTCGAGGATCGGGTGCTGATGAGAAAGCACACGTGGTCCTCTGGAGAGCAACTCTGTGCTCTCGATGTCTCGCTCGATTTGTGTCTCAGCGCGTTCAACACTCAGAGAATTCAAGATAGATTCGATATGTGTCATGCGCAGTCGTTGTTTCAGGCAAGGGCCAGGGCCATCAGCAGGAGGTCTCAGCACCTGCGCGCCCTGTTCCACTAGTCGTCCTTCGACCAGGAGCTCCGGCCTCTCTGCTGGTGGGTGTCTCCTCCTCCTCCTTCTTCCCCCACCCTACCCATGAGACGAGACTCGACGTCGCGGAAACTTGCAGCGTCGTCAGAGCTCACGACCAGAGCCCTGGGCCCAATCTTCCAGCTGCGCCCCTCGAACTGGATCGATCTCGGATGGCTCCAGGGCCCGGGTCCTGGCGAAAACCGCTCCGCGTGAGAAAAGCCTGACGCCAGGAGCGTGGAGTCTTACAGTCCTCCCTTCCTCCCCATCCCTCCCCTAATCCCTCCCCCATCCCCCTCGCCCCTCCCTTCCTCGCCTCATACGTCTCGCATGCAGGCAGCGCCGTGCACAAAAGTATGCTGGAGGCCACGGCCTCGCTCGCGTGGTCTCGAGTAGGCCCGGACTGCTGTCCGCACTGATGGTCGTCCGTTCGTTCTTTCGTTCCTCCCCCCTCCCTTCCCCCCTCCCCTCCTCTTCCTCCTTCTCCTCCTCCTCCTCCTCCTCCTCCTCCTCCTCCTCGTCTTCCTCCTTCCCATCCGCGGCCCCAGTACCCGTCCAGCTTCAGGTCGGGAGGCCACCCAGGCCAGGCGTGTGAGGAGGTCGGTACCAGGGCACGCAGGCGTCGCTGAAGTTAGACGGAAGGCGGCCGCCCGACTGGAACCCGCCTTTTTGCCCTGGGCCGCCACCGGGCCTGCACGCT